CCCCTACAATAATTACGCAACTCAACATGGTATAGCTATTCCAAACGAAGTCTAGTTCACGAACTGTAGTCGTGAAAATATTGACTCTGTAGCCTTGGATGCTTAACTTGATATGGACAAGAGATTCGTACTAATTTCCATAATAAATGCGCAAACCAAAACCATAAGTAGTCGGTACGTGTAGGAGTAATAAAAAAGCAATGCCATATTTAAAACATTACCATCTTATCTTTTCCGGCAATGTAGCTTCGGACATACCCGCCGGCCCTCGGGATGGTCGCCAACTTAACATGCTTCAACGCTCCGTCCCATGTGCGCTGCCACACCCTGATCTTGGCATCCCCATACGCCGCAAAAACCCTTTCATGGGACACCTCCAGCGCCACTACCCTGGATGCCTTGGTCTTGAGTTGACCACACTCCGTGAACTCCGGTAGCTTCCATATCCGAATCAAATTTGTGTCGGAGCCAGTGTAAATAAGACCGTTGGATATAGCAGTGGACAATATCTGACCGTCCTTTTTTAGGACGGAAGATAAGCAGCGGTAGGAGGCATCAAGGTTGATAGTGTGGTTGGGGTTGGGATTGAGGCTGGGGGTTGGTGAGGTCTGGGGGTCCTTTTTGCGGTTGGAGTGGGAGAGACGGTGAATAGGAGAGGTGAGAGGGGAAGTGTGTAGGCTGGGAGTGCTGTAACGCGGCGGGGAGTAGTGGAATCCGGTGAAGGATGATTCTTTAGTGGAGATGCTTCGGAGGAAGTGTTGGGTGGATTCTGGTCGGAGTGCAAAGGAGGGGGTTGAAGGGTTCTGATCCCTTATTGCAAAAGAGGTGTTTGGAGGAGAGTTGGGGGAGTCCAATGAGGCCATCTTTCTTTTTCTTTCTCTTGAAATTAGAATTGAAAGATGTTAATTGGCATTGTTTTTTGGAGGGGTCTCCTCTCTGTATAGAATTGATTGTATATTTATGGTGGCAGAATTGCTAACTAGCTGCACTAAAGTTAATGTAATTTTTAAAAAATAAAACTAAAAATAAAAATCATCTCTCACGTAATGTATCATTTTTTTATTTGATTATACAATAGAAAACAATCATTTTTTATTTTTTATTTCATCCCACCATACTCTATCTTTATGTTATGCGACTTGAATTTATAATTTTTTTTTTAATAAAAAAATTATTATTAAATTATTTAAATTATTAATATAAAATATATCAATTGATATACGTTGACTTATTTATTATTACATGACCATTGTTATAAACATAACCATGAAGGCATGAGATGCTTTACTGGTTTCCCCCACACCTGACCTTGTAGGTCATCTGGTAAAAGGTGCGACTCTCAACCTCATGAACTAAGTTTAAACTAGGGGTGACAATTTCCTTCAAGGCTCGCGGGGATTCCTACCACAAGGGCAGGGTAAGAACAAGAGGTAATTTTCCTTGTGAATTTATGCGGGAAATTTTCCTCACCTCATGAGGTTCGCGGGAATCCCCAACCCTACGAGGTTTGTGGGGATCCCCAACCTTGTGAAAAACTTAAAAATTATATAAATTAATTTTATCTTAAACTTAACCCAATCCAATACATCACAATATATTTTAAGCCCAACTCAATAAAAATTTAGTTTAGCCCAATTTTACACAACCCAACCTAACCCATATCTAATTCTAACCCTAACCTTAGTCATCATACACACTTAATTCAGCCAAATCTACTATCGAACAACCCTCGATCTTTCTCACTTCTTAGTTTCTCTTTCTCACTTTCAAACTTTTTCTTAGCCTTTCTCATTTGCCTTCCTCCTAATCCAGTAACCTTAAGTCCCTCCACCACCACCTACAAGCTACGCCCTACTAATCTACTAGAGCTATTCTCGAACTACATATTACTACTAGATTATTGTCAGGCTACAGTGTTGCTACCAAATCTGCTTGCTTTTAGACTACTTTTGGACTATTTCCATTGAAGCCGTCTACCAATCTGCTGGGGCTATTGTCAAACTACATAGTTTGGATTACTTTTAAAGCGCTTTCAAATCTACTTTGCTTCTGGATTACTACTAGACTATCTTTGTGCTATCAAACTATTTCACTTGTAAATCCAAAGTTGGGTATTCAAGTTTGAAGTACTCTCTCTCT